TGTTTTAATTTTCAGTTATATTTCTTTCTTTAAAGTTGAAACAAGAAAGTAACTGTATTTTTGAATGGTGAATATCATAAATAGTGACCTATAAATTGATGTCAAAGGATCTAACTTAATGGAGGTTTAAAATACTACCTTTCAAGTAAAATCATTTTGGAACAAGGACACAGACAAGAAACAGTCCCCAAACAGATATATTCTATGAACAAAAAACAAACTCCTGGCAAGAGAAAAAGTGAACATCTTTTAGATGAGCTAGTCTTACTAGTATCTTATTGATGAGCTGGTCATTTTCTGTTGAGAAGGCCTTGAGGCACAAGGGATTCTCGCTACTACTCTCATCAACACTCATAGGACAGAGATGGAACAGATTACTACAACTTGGTTGACTGAATAGTAACTACATATCAAACATAATACTCGGCGAACCTTATGAGATGACTACTATTGTGTCCATTTTACAGATCCAGGAACTAAGTTCACATTACCCCAAATCACAAAGCTATGTGGAACTGGAATTCAAATTCAGATATTTTCCACTTAAAAAAAGAAGGGGCCTTGAAAGTTTCCCAGAACATAAATATTGACTTTTCATCCACAGTGTTCTCAATTCAGGTAGTGAAAAACATCTGGAACCAGTATTGTGAGGTTCTTGAGTCTATGTTTTCCATGTAATAAGTTAAAAATATTCCACACCACAATTTTTGTCTTAATATTTTGCCACATTCTAGAATGCTTTATTTTAATAGTTAGTCCCCTATTGATTACACTTCTTTCAAGCTAAGTATATGATCTCATGAAAGATAAGTAGAAACAGTATTTAAATAATAAAAAATAACTAAAGCAAATGTAAAAAAACCTATTCTTACAGATTGGTAGTTACACATTTTCTTGTATTAATAAATGGGTAATAAATGCCAACTCAAAGAAATTAAATGTGCCAGATGTGCTTTGATTCATGACTGAAGAGATATGAATATGAGTATATTTAAATAACTATAATAATTATATTGTGGAAATTTAAAAATTATCAAAGTATATATGCCCAAAGAGTAATGATAGGGTAAAATCATCAGAATAGGATGCCATGAGAATGATATCCTATTCTAATTGAACAAACTGTCAGCAAATTAGAAGTCTAAGCACTAAGTTAGGTGTTGGAATTCAAATGTGAACAAGACACACATAGCCTTCATGGAAAAAAAAAGACAAAAACAAGAAAACAAAATCAATACAATTATTTGTGAGTTCAAACAAAGCAGGAAGTAGGGAGGAAGTTACTTCACATAACGTGATGAGGATAAGCTGCTTTGAGGAAATGACATTTAAGCTAAACAACCTGAAAGCCCTGGCCACAGGAAGAAAATAAAGAGAATTTCCAATATAAGGAGTAGCATATGCAAGGGCCATGAAGCAAAAGCATTTGCCTGGTCCAGGAATAGAGAAATAACTGCAGTGGGTAGTAAAAGCACAAGGAAGAACATGTTAAAAAATATGAGGTCAGAATAACGAGCATAAAATGTGATCTCCAGTTAGTTTTTGTAATACAAATGTTACTACACACAAAATACTAAAAGTGAGGCTACTATAATCATGATAGTGACAATTCTAGATTGTGAAAGGAGTTTGGATTTTTCTCCCTACTATTTTCCACATGCTCCAAAATAAGTTGTATATATATCACAATGAATAGAAAAAAATATGGTACTTTGTGGCTCAGTATTAAATAGAATTCATGACAGCAGACACTCATGCATTGTCCTCAGAGTACATGCACACCAAGAGTGAACTCTTTCAGTCTTTCACTATTAATTATTATATTTGTTATAAATTTTTATTCTCTCTATATGCCTAGTTTTTAGTTTATGTATTTGTTCTAATCATCAATTTGTAGGCTTTTGTTTTCTGCATCTACTGAAATAACCATGTGGGTTCTGCTTTTTATTCTATTAACTGCATATTGCATTTAAAACATTATATATTATGTATACATTCAACATTACATTTTTGACATTCCATGTTGAAATAACTCTCGCCTTCTGAAATAAATGTGTACAACTAACATCAAACTAATAGTGAAAGACAACTCAGCTCTCTAAGATAGGGAAAAAGCCAATGTTATCTGAGGTCTACTCAGTTTAACAAGAGAAATATAAACATATATGGAATGGAAAAGATAAAATTGTCCTTATATACAGGTAACATGAACTTGTGTACTGATAAAAAAAGAAAAAAAAAAAAACCTAAAATAAGACAGTTTAGAAAGGTATAAGAAGATCCAAACACCAAAATCAATTGCATTTCAAACACATTAGTAGTGAACAATTTTTTAAAAAAGGATTCCATTCACTAGTAAAAAGAATTTAAAAAAAAAACCTTAGTAAATTTAACGAAAGTGTAAAACTCAAAACCACAAAACATTGTTGAGAAAAATTAAGGAAGATCTAAATATACTCCTAGTTCTTTATTTACTGGAACAAAGATTCAATTGATAGGAAGATTCAATGTCATTAAGATGTCAATTTGTACCCATGATGATCTACCCAACTCTATCATGAGTTTTAATAAAAACTGGTTTTAAAATATATATGAAAGTATAAGTGACTGACACTATCCGGGAAAATTTTGAAAAAGACAATTGAAGTTACAGGACTTAAACTACCTAATTTCAAAACTTACTATAGGCCGGCGCCGCGGCTCACTAGGCTAATCCTCCGCCTAGCGGCGCCGGCACACCGGGTTCTAGTCCCCGTCGGGGCTCCGGATTCTGTCCCGGTTGCCCCTCTTCCAGGCCAGCCCTCTGCTGTGGCCAGGGAGTGCAGTGGAGGATGGCCCAGGTGCTTGGGCCCTGCACCCCATGGGAGACCAGGAAAAGCACCTGGCTCCTGCTCTGCATCGGATCA